ATTTTTAAATTATACAATAATCAAGGAATGGAATTTAAAAATTACAAAATATTCTGAAATGTGAGACTTTTTTATTTTCCTAGTATCACCAGAGGAAAAGTGGGTTAATAGGTTAATAATTTATCATTGATGTTAAGTTTATTAAGTCTATCGTAGCTCTTTTTAACCTAAAGAAAATGATGACTTTACTATAAAATCATTTTGCTTTATATTTTGAAATTTTTGAACAATTTCAAATTCAACAATAAAATCAATTTCATCAAAACTAGTGAGAACTAATAAAATATTGATAATATATTGATATTTAATTAATAAACTAATACAAATTACTTACTAAGCAGAAAAAAAAAAAAACAAGAAATATTGCACTTTGATAAGCTCTTATCATTTTATCGTCTTTTTCAAGGAAATAGAAAGAGATTATAATCATATAAATATTATATTTTAATAAGCAAATTTTTGATTCTTATTCCAGATCCTTATCATTTTTTTAAATTGAAAAGAAACTATAACCATAATAAATAATATATTTTGATAAGCTTGCAAATTTTTATCATTTTTTTTCATAATGGAACAAATTCTTACGCACTTATTATAGGAAAATTCCCATAAATTTTAATTAGCATATTTTCATGAACTATTAAAATATCATTGAATTTTTTAAATTTTAAATTTAAATTTTTTAATCTTTTGATATTATCGATAAAGTAAAATGAGAATAAAATATTACTAATAATAATTAACTAAATTTTAAAAAAAAGAAGAAAATTTTTTTTTCTTTCTCTCTTCCTTTCCCGAAAAAAAAAACGATTGATTTATATAGGCTTAGGCTTATATCCACCGATGAAAAGAAAAGAAAGATTTCCAAGCAATGCATTAATTATTCGTCGTAGCATTTATTAAATATGAAGATAAGAAGCTTTTTGGCTTTGAATCGATGAACTTATAATTAGCCACAAGGCATACACGAAATGCTTTTCACTTATAAATAATTGATCTTATAAAGAAGGGGAGGGAGAAACGACTAATATATTACTTTCATACGAATCTTATAGAGGGGACGAGAGAGAAGAGGAAAAAATTTATAATTATATTTTTTGCCATGAATTTTAGAAAATAGGGAAGTGAGGGAGGGGGAGGTGAGAAGGAGTTGTGATAAGGAGAAAGACGACGACTAATATATTGTTTTAGCAAGGATAAACCTATTATCAAAAGAGAGATTCAAGAAAAAAAATGTGGCATTTGCTTCCGAATGAATTCTAATGAAAAGATCGTATTCTAATAATTGGCCAACCAAGCATAAGTCAAATCAGGACACTATAAATAGTACTGATAATGGCATTATAAAAGTGATAATGATAATGATAATAATATAGGCAATATATTTAGCTACACTATTTTTTATCCTACTTATCTATACCATCTAATAAATGAATAAAAAATAAAAAATAAAAAATTCTCATTCTACCCCTATTCTATCCCATTAAGCATATTATTATTCCTCTTTTCTCTCATGCATAGAAAATAATTAATGATTAACAGTTCATTCGTTGACGTTACTGATTGATAATTAATAATAATATTGATAATAATGATAAATCTTAGGCGAGAAATCTAAATAAATTCCTATTATACGCACAAAAAATAAACAGTATTCAGTTCAGCTAGCATAGCATTAACTAGCATTTATCCTTTTATAATCAGCACCTTTTAAATCAGCGATTTTGATAAGACCGTATTAGAATGGAGAGGGTGGTCGATAGAAGGTGATGAGGTGGGTGTTAATTTTACTAATTTTACTAATTAATTTTTTTGATTTCTACTTTTTAAAAAAAACATTTCACATGGGAATTTATATATAATAAAAATTCTGATTAGATATTTTCCTTCATCACAAATAGAGATAATTTGTTGACGACGAAAAAAAAAAATCATATTCTATTTTACCGAAATTATTTATTTAATTTATCAGTTTCAATATATTTATTATATATAAATTTATTTATCAACTTGCTTATCAGTTTTAAATTACTTTTTAGTGTCTGGATTTGGCATTACGGATTTTTGTCATCATTGGCCATACTACTCACCTTAATTTCATTTTCATTGAACAATTAATAGAACAGCCGGTGATTTTAATCGTTTTTTTATGTAATTTAAATAATTTTGATAAAATTTTTGATAAAATCTTTTTTGATAAAATTTTTGATAAAATTTGATATATTTGGTAAATTTGATATAATAAATGACTTTTTATATTACCTTTGGTATTAAACTAGAACATCGAAATAAGGTAAAGAAAAAACAAACCGTAATCTGTAAAAAAAAAAAGTTTGCATAATTTTTTTATGAGAAAGCTTTATTCCAATATTTTATAATTCTTTTTTTTAATAGAACTTATTTTTTTGCCTCTTTGGTTTCCTTTTCGGCAATTTCCTTAGAGCGAAACACCTACGAAAACAAGAGGATTTTGAAATCCCCTTCTAGTAGTTTGACTGTTTCCAAGAACGAACCCGAATTTTTGTGCAAATAGGATTTCACGTTGGTAAAAATTTACAAATTGACCAAACAAATTCTTATTTCGAGTAAAAGTTATAGTTTTAAAAGTTATTTATTTTTTATTTAGCAATTAGATTATTTGTTATTTACATTATTAAAACTATTTAAATTAATTAATTATATAAAATTACACAATTAATTACGCAAAAATTATATAAATGAAATATATATAAATTAATTACATAAATTAATTAAATTAATCAATTAAATTTAAAAAAATTAATTAATTAATCAAAAAAATTAATTAAATTAATTAATAAATTAATTGAATTTCTTTTAATCAAAATTGCTTAATTTAATTTTTAAGTTGTTAATTTAATTTGTTAACTTTTAATTAACAATTAAATTCAATATTTAAATTTTGTTTTTATTTTGGAATTTTTTATAAATTCCAATATTTTTCGATGTATTTTTAAAAGAAATTATTTATTTCCATGTTTATCATTACTATTCTTTTTAATATATTTTGTTATCTCTAATTGTTTTCATTATTTTTATTTATAATTTATTTCCATTTCGATAAATCCTTTCATATTTTCATTAATCTTTTCATTATTCCTAAATTTTCATTTTATAAGAAAATATAAATTAATAAAAATTTTTACTTAAATTTATTTAAAAAAAAAAAAATTTAAATGAGCGATGAGTTTTACAGCAAAGGAAAAAAATCTACATTTTATAAGTCTCAGCCAGTTATGGCGAATTCTTATCGTAAGCCTTAATCTTAATCTTATGTCTGAGCAAAATGCCTGACAGATCTCAATTTTTTTCCTGAAAATATAAAGCCTAAATATTTTTTAGGGTAATCCGCTTAGTCCGCACCATATTATTTATTCTGTTATTATCCAAATGGCCATCGTAGACCATTGTTAAAGATGCTAAACGCTCCAATAAGACGATCCCATGCGATCCTAGGTTCTCGCAATCTATTTCTTATTATTTGTTATTTTAACTGTTGTTATTAATACAAGCACATTGCGTTTGCTCTCTGCTTGGCTGGTTTTCAATAAATAAATAATTCGGTTAATATGTTCACAAGCTGTTGAAGCCATATAGAGAAGGCATCTAACTGGCAAATGGAACCAAACTTTTTTTTTAAAGAGTCCTTATCATTACTGGTTAAACTCGCTCCACTTGTCAGATTAAGCAATATGCCAGGGAGTTTCATGGCGATAGAAAAACAAAGTAAGACGCCAGCATCACCTGGATTTTTCTACATATTTACTCCTGCGGGGAATCGAATTTCAACATCGGCGCTCCCAATCAAGCAACAACCCATTGAGCCATTCTATCCTTAAATGGAACTCAACTATTTCCTTCTAAATTCTCCTTCTTTCCTTCTAATTACCAGCTGTTTAAAAACATTTCACATTTGCTCGCAACATTTGTAAATAACTAGAAATTCTAAGAATTATTCATTATCATTCTTTCATAAAATTGAAATTAAACTAACATTTATCCATTGAAATTTCTCTAAAAAAAATATATTACAAACAGCAATTAAAACAACCAAAATTCCGAATGACAATGATTTTTCAATTTTTTTTTTTTTCAAATCTATTACAAGTGAAAAATATAAGTGAAATATATAAGTAATGAGGATCAATAATAAAATTAAAAATAATAAAAAAAACTTATAAATTCCACAAAACAAAAAAAAATGAAAATGAAAAACCTCCAAAATTTTTAAAACTGATTTTTTCCAACTCAAAAATTTTTTAATAAAGTCATTTTGAATTTTCTTTTTCGTAAGAACACTTAATAAATGATTTGAAAAAATGAAATAGAAATACCATGATTAATTTAAAAAAAGCAGTTAGAGAAGATTACCAATATTTTTAAAGTACCAATAAGCCAGCTGATTATGAAAATTAGGATTTAGGAATTTCAACGAAAATTTCTTTCAATAAAAAAAAAAAACTAAATGCCTCTTAGAAAAGAAATTTAAAAAATTCAAAAAAATGATTTCATATTTGAATAAATCGGATTTATTATCCTTTATAACATGAAAGAAAGTATCTAATATAAAGTGCATCATTATTTTTAATAATTAAAATGGAAATTTAAAAAAATAATAATAAAAAAATCTGTAAATAAAAAATTACCAAAAGATTAAAAATAGGAATGGAGAATGTAAAAAACAAAAAAATTAAAAACGAACCATATAACGATGGATGCTAGGCTTCCCGTAAAGAAAGTCCGAGAAGCATCCTTTCACAAATTAAATGAAATTAAAAATTTAAATGATAGGAGGAAACGAATACAAAGAAAATAATTTGTGAAATAAAAGACTAGCGAAGTTGTGAGAGATAAGTGATAAAAAAAAGGAATGAATAATTAACGAGGAAATGAATGTATGTGGTTCAAGCAACAACATGAAGATTTATAAAACGATATAAAATAACAATCAAATACTTCTTGATAAGCTTTGAAATCATATTTTAATGATTTAGAAGAGGTCGAATAGGTTCAGATATTTCTTTCATATTTGGCATATAACCACAAGCCATTAGACATGCGAATACAGTCATTACCATACGTGGTTTCACCTAAATGAAAAGTTATAAGAAAGATTCATATAAATAAAAAAAAAAATTAAACGAAATTCGCGATAAAATGATTTTATTCTGCTAAGAAATGAAATATTAATAATAAACCTCGACAATATCCTCTGGTAACGCATATATTTTTGCACCAATTTTACGACCCGATGTGATCGCATATTTTGCATTAGCGAAATTTGCCTAAAATATTATACCAATAATTTCATGCAATTATAGACGATTTGTTAAATGCTTCTTAATACTTATTTAAGATGACAGAGAATCAAAAATTATTAAATAAAAAATTATTACTTCAATATTACCACTCCGCACTAAAGAATAATCAATTATTCCTGGTTTAATTGCATCAATTAAGTCGATAACAACACGTGCGTCCGATATGGTTGGATCTTGGAAACTTTTAATCTGGGATGACTTGTTGGAAAATGAAAGCTGGAAAAATTTAAGCAATTAAACCAAGCGCATGCATAAATTTCAAGGAATTCAAATTCCATTCAAATTCATAAATTAATACAAAGCGAATAAAATTAAAATATTTGGAATAATAATTCACATTGAAATATTGAAAGTTTATAGTTTTTACGATTACAAAATCTTCATACCTTTTTATTAACAACGATTACAAAATCTCCATACCTTTTTATTAACCCAGGCTATAATTTCTTTATCAGTTGCTAGTGCATCACCACTATCAGTACATTGCGCCAAGACAGTCAGAGTATAAGCACGCATTAACTGCCAAACAAGAGCTGAAATTACGATCATTATTAATCGAAATTAACATTTATACAAAAAAAAACAAAGAAATGAACATACTATTCAAGAATAGTAAAAGAGAAATCGATTTTTTTCTAGTCAGAATAATTAAATATTGAAAATAATAATATAATAATATATGTACCTAAAGTAAGCGTTTGATTTCCGTCATAGATATCCTTGCCTTGAATACCAACTAATGAAAATTTCAACTGTTTACCCAGCTCTACAGCGTAATTGCAATTTTGAATCTGGTCCATCATACCTTTTAATTTCGAGAATTTTGTAACAACTCGCTTCCAATTGACAAAACCCGGTCGAATAACATCATAGAGCTTAAAAATACAAAAACCATAATCATTGGCATATAAAATCATAATTCATTATCACTATCAAGAAGAAGTTAATTTAGAGTGAATTCGATTCATGAAACATCAGCACGAACGAATATTTAAAAAATATTATTAAAAAAAATTATAAGATAAAGAAAATTGGAATGAAACCTGGAAAATAATACAACCATTTGTTAAATCACTATAAAGCCAATTAACATAAGGATTAACGCCCATACTGTTCATCCAATTTCGATACGTCTTCTCTTCACGTGTCTCCTCAACGACATCAATTTCGCCTAAGTCATCATTCATTATTGAAAAATTTGAATAAGAAATTGAAAAAAAAAAGATAAATTGGGATACTAACTAATTTCATCTGCTCCTGGTTCTGGTAATCCAGGGTGTTTATTAAAAAGATTAGCCACAAAAGCCAAATTTAATTTATAATTTCCTTGTACAACGTCATTTGGAGTAACGAACTCTCGACATTCTAATTTATCTGCTTCGCCTAGCATAGCAGAAGCTCTCATAAGATTTCCCTGAAAAAAATTCTCTAAATATGCCGAATTATAGATTATTCTATAATATCCTTGATATTATCCAGAATAAATACTTGAACATTAAGTGGATTAAGTGTAACGCCTGCTGATCTTGGTGCGATTTGATGCAATAGATAAGTATAAATTTCAGAATCAGTTACATCACTCGTGAAATTCATCAATCGTCTGTTCACTCCAGCCTTAATCAAGTGGTACTATGAAATAAATGAAAATGAATTTTCTCACACTCATTAAGAATAAAAGATAAATTTAGAAAATAGGAGAAATTTTTTTAAAATTCTTAAAAATTTCTTAAAAATATTTTTCTTAAATAAAAAATTGAAATCAAAAATTGTGCTAAGTCAAAAAATTTAGTGAATCACCTTTTCTAAATGATAATTCACCCAACGCATGAGAATCTGTTCTGGTGATAACTTTCTTAAATCATCAAGAGTTTCATCTTCTTGCAATAATCGAAACAATCCAGGCACATGTCGCAAATCGATTTGGTTAAATAATCCAATCTAAAATAGTAAAGCAAAAAAAACATCAAAGTTTCATAGTGATATATAAATATTATATATCATCTAACAAATATAACGTCTCGCTTTTTAGGAAAAAAATTTATACTCGAATAATCTGCCACAATAGGCCAAGAACGAGATGTGGTTTGCCTTTACTGAGATCATCCGCATCAATATTTACGATATTACAGCCAATTGCTTGTGCTGACATCAATGCTAGCATAAGATTTTCCAGCTTTGTATAAGTATTTAAGACTTTTTTATTTAACGCTCGCTCATCAATCGTATCAGGAACGGCAAGATTAATCAGTTTGCTACAAGTGATAATTTTTGTTAAATTTTTATTTCTAACCTTATTTATATAATAAAATGACTTAGAACCTTCCACTTAAAATCTTGATGAACATAATGGCAAATTTTTCAGAAAAAAAAAAACTATTTGTCGTTCAAAAATACTACTGCTACTACTACTATTACTACTGACGTACTACTGCTTGGTGCAAAGGTCTATAAAATTGTAAATTTGAAAAAAAATTCACCATATTATTAATCCATCTTGAACTTTACTATAAAGATCACCATTTTCGGTCTTAACAGGCAACAAATTTTTGAGATCTATATCGGCAAGTAGATTACTATTTACCCAATTTGAAAATGCGACTTCTTCCTTCAAAAAATATTGATAAGATCAAAAAAAGTGTCGAATGAGCAAAACAATTCTTATTCAAAAAAAAAAAAATTTATTGAAATATTTCAAAAATATTTCAACAATTTATTGAAATTTACACAACATATACTACGATATTTTATAATTTTTTCCATTAGCACTGTCTCTACCAAAATAACGCACTCCTCAGCCATGGGTTTATAAGTGATTCGGAGGGATGTCTTTTTTTCACCCTTTCGAATTTCACCTTCTATGATTGAGACTTACTTTCATCAAAGAAAAAGGAATTAAAATTTTTCGTTTTTTTTTAGCCAAATTTACTCTCAATATACAACTCGTCTAAATGAAATGAAATTTAAAAAAAAATTTTTTTTAAAATTTTAAGAATTTTAAAATTTTTTAAAAAATTGAAAAAAAATAGTAACCTCTACTCGAATTGTATGCACAATTTCTTCATTGCTTTGTTCAGAAAGGCCTTTAACAGTGTAAGCACCTGTTACAGAACCAATACGTTCTTTCCATCGATTAACTTCTTGATCTTTTTGAATTCGTAATTCTTCAAATAGATTTTCAAAATCATTAAAACTTACATTTTCTTTGCCAACATAACGTTTCGTTAATTCACGAATCTGTAATTAATTTATTTTTTCTTCGCTCTTTTCGGTTTTAATGAAAAAATTTACAAAAAAAAAATTCGGGAATTAATCATTTTAAAATTTTTCTGAAAAAAAAATTTAAATTTCAGTATGATTTTATATGAATTGCTATAGTGAAATAAAATATTATAAAATATTTAAATATAAGTAAATAAATGAAAAATGTAAAATATAAAATATTTAATATATAAAGGATTTATGAAAAATGGGAAAAAACAAAGAAGAAATAAAAAAATACCTGAAAGCCAGGTAAATCAATACCAGTTATTTTTAACGCTTCTTGAATATCGTTAATTGAAATCGTTCCTTGGCCATTCTCATTAATCTAACAAAATTTATCAAATAAAAATTTTTTTTAAAATAATTTCTAAAATAGAATTACTAATCATTATTAATAAAGTTAAAAACTTTTAATTTATTTATTTATTTTATTTTTTTAATTTTTTTAAATTCAAAAAAATTTTCAAATAAAATTGAATAAAAAATTATAAATAAACAAAGGAATTAAAAAATATTTTCGTAAAAAAGGCCTTTAAATTTTAAACAAAATGAATTTTACAATAAATCTTATAAAAAATAAATATAAATGAATGAATTTTAACAAGAAAAAAAAAACGAAATGAAACCGATGAAAATCGTTCAGCTAAATCGACAATTTGTTCCTTTGATAACATTGCAATACGATTTTTCTCATAGAATTCACAAAACTAAAATATCAAAAATTTAAAAAATTTATTCAAAGAAAAAAAAAAGCATCGAACATCGCATTTTATCGTTTGAGATTTGATAAAATAATCATATTTATCGATGGTTTCCAAAGCAAAAAAAAAATTATTAATTATGAATAATTAATGAATTAATAAATAATAAATAAATAATTAATAAATAATAATATGAATTAATAAAAATTATGAATAATTTTTATTAATTCTTATTTATTTATTATACTTAATACATTAAATAAATAAATTTAGATCAACTTTGTTGATTATTAGTATTACTAGTATAATAGAAATTTTTGCATTAGATAATCGTAAGGTAATAGAGATAAATACATATAAATGAATGGTACCATCCAGATTTTTTAAACAAAAGGTTTATTCCAGCATAAAAAACTATATTAAATATAAAAAAACAGACCCCGCACTATTCGCACTGTCTAAAAATATATATGAACACTGGAAAACTAATAACTAATTGATAAAGTGATTTTACAGATAAAGTCAGTTAACCTACTTAATTTGTGCACATCCAGATGATTCAGATGATGATGCACTCCTTAGAGATACTCTCACCATTACTGATTACACTGGCTCGACCTTAACTGGCGAAAGAGATACACCAGGCAAGAACCACAATAATAGCGCTCGCCAAATAATCAACTAACTATCATTCGCTAATGCTACTCACTCTATCTTTGTTAGGCCTAAAATCTTCACTGAACAGAATGGTGATGATGCATCAGCTGAGTTCGAACTCGAGCCTCGAGTCTCAATAACAACTATCTCCCCACTAAGCCACCAACACACCTCCAGTCCTCCTTCAAATCCTTTTATATGTCCTTCTCCGTTATACAACCTTTACGAATCCCTCAAAGGCCTTCATATTCCGCTAATTTTCGGCGCACACCAATTTATTCACCGTTGTTATGTCTCCTAAATTCTCTACATTCTCACCTTAAACCCCGCCATAGATCGTTACCATTCCTCTTTTTCCTTCTGAGAAATATTTGCCTATTTTGACTGCCTTTGTTTTGTTTTCACATTTTTTTTCACAATTATCGTTAAAAAATCGTAATAAACAAAGAATCAATCAATGCGTTGAAAAATAGATTATTGTCCTCATTTCGAAGCGCTATTGATAGGGTGCTTTTCTCGGTACCAAACAGTGACACTTTGGTGACTAATTTCGTACTTCTATTCTCGGCACCAAACGATGACGCTTCGGTGACTAATTTCGTATACTTCTATTCTTGGCACCAAACGATGACGCTTCGGTGACTAATTTCGTATACTTCTATTCTCGGCACCAAATGGTGACACCTTGGTGACTAATTTCGTACACTTCTAACGCCGACTGCGTAAAATATTTGGCGAGAAAATCCGATATGTCAACGAAGTAAACCTCGTTTTGAATTCTTTTTAGAAAACCCCGTTAAATAAATTCGAAAAAAATCTTAAAAAAAATGTTGATTAATCGAAAACGAGGAGAATGGAATTCGTATCGGAGGCCGCTTAAACGAAAAAAAAATGAATCGTCCGATTGTTAGTAGTCGATCTTAGATGTTTTCATTGGATAAAGTCGATTAATTTTTTAATTTTTTAAATTTTTTAAAAATTTTATTTTAAAGTTTTATTTCTTTTTATTGATTTATTTTTAATATTTTAATAAATATTACATATTTGATTTTTTGGATAAAAATATTTTAATTTATTTTTTTATTTCAAAAAATATGAAAATAATTTTTTAAAATATTTTGTATATTTTATTTTTATTTTTATCATTTTAAAATAATTTCTAAAACAATATTTTTTAATTTATTAATTATAAATAATTCTGATTATAAATAATTATTTTTATCATTTTAAATTACAAAATAATTTTAAAAATATTATTTATTAATCCAATTTTTTTCTAAAATCTTTTATATTTTAGTTTTTTTTAAAAACAAAAACTTAAAAAATTTTATAACATCAAAAATTATTGTGAAATTTCCTATTATGAAAGAAAAAATTTTGATATCCTCGAATTCAGACTAAATAACAATTTTATACATTTATAATAAATAAATTTTTTTTGTTTGAAAAAAAAATATAAATTATGCTTTAATTATATTTCAGAATTAAGTAAATTAAAAAATAAATAAATATTTATTTAAAATATTTACAATTATTATTTTATCATTTATTTATTATCTTTTATTATTTAATATTTAATTAATATTATTTATATTTATTTATTGCACAATTATATAATTAATTATATATGTATATAATTATTATTAATATTTCGATTTTTTTTTCGAAATATCCGATCGAAAGAACCATGGAAAAAATTAATAAATATTAAATATATATGCAAAAAATATTAAAATATCAACAAATTTCGTTTAATTTTGACGAAACTTGTCATTTTATTTGACAGAATATATTTGTCAGAATAGCGAATAATGAGATATGCATTAATCGTTGTGATGAACTTCTCCTAACGAGTGGTGAGCGAACGAAGATGGATGTAGTGGATGTAAGATTCTATCCTAAAATATAGCCTTAGATCAAGCCGTGATAGCATATTTTTTATCATTTTACACTATCATCGGCCATATTTCGTGGTCATATAACCAGATATTGCCTATTGCAGCCAGATTAATACGTTTTGATCGTGATTTCGTAACGATCCCAATCCCAATCCCACTTCGCTAGGCCTGCTTATGACTGCAGTTATGGTCATCGCAGTTGGAATTTTCTCTTTCGCTTGGCTATTTGATATAAAAGTGAAATGTCATGCTACTCTCCAGTGGTTCAGTTAAACTGAAGGCAATGGCAAAACCACTGAAATAGTAGATTACTGATATTTGAAGAAATATTTTTCTTAGCATATCCGTGTAAATTCGGTTTGGCTAGTGGTTTGGCGTTTCCTGTCATCCTTGTTCCTCTCGTTATTATTATTATTAGCCCATGTAAGAAGGAAAAGAGGAAAATAGAAATTTTCTCAAACATTTAATGTGCTATTTCCTTGATAATTTTCATAGTACATCTTATCACTCTTGTTCTCACTTTTTTTTAAAGGGAATTTACTAAAATTCAAATTCAAATAAAATTTTCAAATAGAATAGATAAAATATTTGAAAACTGACAATTTAATAACAAATATTTAATATTTGATTGATAAAACGTTGTAATTCATTTAATTAAATATTAAATTAAATTGGAAAAAAATAGAAACTAAAAAAAATGATCGATGGCAAAAGAGAAACATAAATTGATAAGAAAATTTTATCAAAAAATTTTTATTAAAAACAATTTGATCTAAAAACAACTGAAATTTTTTCCAATGAATTAAATAAAAAATTTGAGAAAAATTTCTGAAGTTTTTTTTAAAATTTATTCACTAAAATATAAATTATGATTCATCATTATCATTTATCATTATCAACGATGCTAAATATTTTTAAAAAATTCCATAAAAAAAGATAGAGAAAAATTTATTTTCTTATTTACTAGCATTTATTAGCATAACATTTTTAAAATAAGTATTTTTCGTAATAATTTTTGATAATATTCGTTTACATTAATTATTTATTTATATTTATTATATTTATTAATAATATTTATCATATTTATTTATATTTATTAACAAAATCGCATTAAAAATTTTATTTCAAATTGTTTCACCAAATGAAATTTATTAAAAACATATTTGAAGAATTTTTTGGAAAAATTCAATTTTTATTGTATATTTAAGATTATTTTCATAAAAATTAATTTTAATTGTTATTTTATTAATTAGTTAATTAAATAAATTTAAATAAATTTCGTCTTTTGTTTAATTAAAAAAATTAAAAATTTTAATTTCAATTTGATTAAAAATTAATAAAAAATCTTTTTGAAACAAATTTATATAAAAAATTATTTATTTAAATTTTTATTTTTTAAATATCTTTATTTATTAATAGTGAAAAGCAATAATAAAAATTAATTAAAAATACAGCGTAAATGAAAGAAAGCAAAAGTTTTTCAATGAATAATTTATGAATTCATTTCGATTTCGTTTATTGCAAAATTTCGATGAGAAAATTTATGAAAATAGAATGATTAAAAATAAAATTAAAAATTATAAATTATAAAATTATAAAATGAAATTTAAAAAATTAAAAACAAAAATATATTTTAGGATTATTTAATTTAGATCTTTAATATTTTTCAATTTAAATTGATTTTTTTATTTTTTAAATTAAAATTAATTATCATTATCAATTTATTTTTAAATTTATTATTATTATTATTATTATTATTATTATTATTATTATTATTATTATTATTTTTATTTTTATTATTATTATTATTATTATTATTATTATTATTATTATTATTATTATTATTATTATTATCATTAATTGAAGTTATTATTTTAGCGACTTTGATTCAAATGAGGCAATGATCCTAGAAAAGGACCATTCACCATACATATACATATCTCATGAAAATATTCCCTATAAATATATAGTACATATAAAAATTTATGTATAAAAAGAATTGCCTTCTCACCTTGCTGTCGATGACATGGATCTATCTCAGTTTCTCATTTTAAAAGCTTGAGAAAATATTCCTAGCGTCGCACTCTTCCAGACTTTTACTCCAGAAGATCTTTATTTCTGGATGGATTCTATTAAAATCATTCTTCCAGCTTAGGAATTACAAATCTCGAGTGCTACCATTTTTATCACCATTCGTTTTGTCATTTTGGTCTTCACTTTTCACATCCTCTCTAGTTTTTTTTTTTTTAAACCGTGATATTCCTCTCGCTTTCCTATTCCTATTCTCATTTTTTCCTAAAGTCCTTATCATTTGGTATTACCACATCTACCACACCGATTTCTGATTCATAACTTTCACAATGACATCTGGTTGCTTGTCCTGTAGCTAGTTTATTCGTCCTGGCCAGAAGTACCACAGCATCATGATTTATTATAAACATCTCTATGGAA